AATTATCACAAATATTACAAACAATTATCACAAATATTACAAACAATTATCACAAATATTACAAACAATTATCACAAATATTACAAACAATTATCACAAATATTACAAACAATTATCGCAATTATATAAAACATTGATATGAATTGAATATACAGTAAGTATTGAAACAATGAAATAAAGGGCTAAATCAACGCAAACAGATTGTGTGCAAAGTTTTAGTCAAAAACTTGTGATACCAAAGAGCCTCCCGATTGGCGGCCAACTCGTGCTCCAGTACTAAATAGTGTAATAGCCGTGCGTTGCGTCTATTGACCAGTTCTCGAGGGCCAGTCGTCAGGTACGGCACTGGAAACCAGTTCATAATGAAGGCCGACATATCGGCTTCAGAGGTAGTGTTGTTGATTTGGGCCCATACGGTCACCGGCGCCACATTACACGCCATACGGGCGATGTGTGCGTTCAGTCGGCGAATTGTGACCGCAATCCGATCGGTCAGTGTTTGCATTTGCAACTCGTAGTTATAATAGTCGCCCAATCGGTGACCGATCGGCAGATTCATAATCACGGCGAATGTCAGACCGCCGTTCAAACGCCGGTCCGACTCCATGAGCGCACCCATCGTTCGAATGAGTGCCGGCACCAGCGCTGTCGGCGACCACTTCTCCACCCAATTGCTGAACAAAATAAACGATAAAATTATCTCAAACTTTTGTCACAATGTTTTAGATTATACTTATTCCCGATTTCAACCGCTATGTTAACCCCTTTCCAGCCCAGTTCGGCCGGTCTGTCCTGGTCTGAGACCTTTACGTTGTAATTCCTGTCCATTCCGGCGTATTTATCGTATACTTCATGTGATGTGTCCATTTGCGCCGCCGCCGCTGCTATCGGCCCCCTCTGGCCAATAGGCAGGCGTTTAACGTATCGTTTAAACCATCGCTTGACATATTGGTCGACAAACGTCTGGGCCATCGACACAATCGTTTCGTACGACGCCTTCCCATTGCGTCCGTCGGCGGCGGTCGCGTCCATCGCCAACCTCTTCTCTGGCGGCGGTGTCGGCGGCATCGATATGGCCCGTAATGTTGTCCTCACTTTCGGCTTCGCACCGGTACTGATGGCCGCAAAGCAGTCATTAAAGTAATATCATTAATAAATAGTCAAATACTTGATTATTGGCACCACTGGCGGCACTCGTATCTTGCGATTGGCGTTATCTGCGGTAATATTGGCCACAAATGTCCGCTTTTGGGTCGATTTCAGACAATTAGTGTTACGATTCAAAACGTTAATATAGCGGCCATTGTATTGGTTTACCGGTATTTCCTTCTTCAGCGCATTGAGACGATTGTTGGCCACGAGTGACGGCTGTCTGTGACGACCCGCTCTATAAGTGTGGTCTCTGTCGCGCCAATCGGTGTCCGATTCGTATCTACAAACAAATCTATCGTTAATCGCAACAAATAAACCAATAAAACAAGACATACATATCAGCGGTCATTGATTGGACACTGGATGAAGGCTGACCACTGCCGTCACCGCCGGCGGCGCCCCCTTCGCCACCGCGGGGTCGGACGTCAATGCGGTCTCTGTTGGCCAATATGTGGTCGACAGGCGTGCGGTCGTCGAGTAGGCCGTCGTTGAGCCACAGATCCACTTCGACTGTGCGATCGATGGCCGCACAACACGTGTCAATCACGTGACGCTTCAGATCATAGACCGTCACAACTGCGGCGGCCAATGACGGGCCGACTGTGGCTGCGGTCGGCACTAACAGCCAATAGTCGTCCACCGCATGGTCTGCCACCGCCTTCACCGACACCAATAGGTTGAGTGACTTTCGATGATTGGGTGACATATTCTTCGGCGCCTGTAATCGACGGATCAATTGATGGTTTGATTTGTGACAAAACTGAACACAAATTGAACGCAAAAAATAATGAATTGTAAAAAACAAACGCTTGGATGAAGTGATCAATGGATTCGTTCACAAATAACGTGACACCCGTTGAAGGCTTGTATTATAGCCCCCTTTGTTTGAACCAATTATAAGTGCCGTAATTTATGTCCATTTATTAATAGAGTGACCACAAGTCCAACAAATTACAAAAGCAGTGCATTTATTAGGAAATACACGTGTTTTTTGGTTAATTAATTATAAAATTGTTTAGTCATTTGTGACACCCATTTAGAGACCAGTGACCGCCTCCCGAGTGGCCGACGGCAACGATGACCACACAGACAATGAGGTCTATACGCATTCACGTGTCCGTACATCGGGTCCGGCATATGAAGAGGAATAAATGGCTGGAAGTGGAGGAACCGCACGTCACCACAATTGGTCGTTTGCGGCAACGCTTGGCCCGATTGGTGGACGTGGAGGTCGACGAGTTGGCCGTCATATACGAGAATGAGATAATACCCGAAGAGGACGACGATCGCGCCGTCCGCTTCTGGCTTCGCAATAACGCCCGCATTGTTCTCGAGCTGAAGACCGATCGCCCGCAGCCGCGGCCCGTCTTCTTGGCGGCCACCGGTCAGCAGCGCGTGTCCCGCGAAGTGTAGGATTAAATTGGTTTTGATTGGATATAAGAATGAATTGATTTATTGTATTTTTTTTGCATGACATCCGTCGGTCACTCAACCGCTGGACAGTCGTATCGCGTATAAAGTGGACGCAAATCCGAAGCCAAAGACGTTACCAATGGATGATTGGCCGAAGGCATTGCTACCGCAGAAATGTTTGCCGCCGGAGATGACGGCCACGGATTCAGTGACCGATGATAAACAAGCGTTAGATAGCGAACGGCACGAGTACTGGTCAGTTATGTTTGGCCACACTTTTGGCGTTGAATTAATATTTTGAACGCATATTTGTTACGAACAGTTCCGACGCGGACTCCGATGACGTGATGTTCAGATCTGCCAGTTCTTCATTCGATGACCCAAAGGATGTGTCCGCCATATACTTGGAAACCGAATCTACGGGTGTTAACGAACCGCCGATGGAAAGGGTGTCCTACGAGTGTCGGACACCGATTACGTCCCGAAAGGAGTATTATATTCAAATGCATATCAATTTATCATTTAATTAATTGCCTTTCAATTTAGTTTCAATTATAAGCAATACATAAAGAGTATGAATAATGCGTCGGAAAAGCCATTGGATTACTGCCACAAACCTATTGAAAGTGACTACAACTATGCCGCCGACGACACCACCACTCGAGCGGAGGTCAGCGATGGACACGACTCGCAACTGACGCCACCCGAAGGAAGCGTACGAAGCGATAGTTTTGATGACACAGACGTTTATCGGGCGGTTGTCAAACAGATATCGGCCACAGAATCAGATGACGAAACTCTGCCAATGGCTGCCGTGGAAGTGGACGCCGCGGTCACTGTTGACAATACAATGCAATCCATTAGCGATCCAATTCATCGCTCCCGTATGGCCGCTGTTATGACCGAACTATTGGCCAGATTTGTTGGCTATGGATGTAATTCATCGGTTGAATGCACTGACAACTGTCGCGTTGAATCAATTGATGGACATTCAGATGATGGCAGTGTATCATTGAATACATGCGCCGATTCATTGGCGACCGGCATTTCCTATCTTCAATTGGACACATCTGTTGACCAATCAATTGGTACACACATTGATGACACGCAACCATCAGTTGATAAGCAGCCATTGACTGTAATAGAGAGTCCGAAGACTGCACCGGTGGTCAATTCACCGGTTCCGCCGCCAATCAACAGAAACATGTAAACCATATGTCATAAACTCATAATACCTTTTAATTATTTTAATGTATTTGAAAGTTTCAATTATAAGGAGTATATAAAGAGTTTAAAAGCACGTCCAGTGCCGCCGCCGGTGCCGCCAAAACCGGACAATCTAAAGGCAGATCTTGCAAAGCTGAGGAGACTTACCACCAGTACATTTGATCCCCGCTCTATGGATACCACAAATGCACACGTAATGGACAAGTAATGGATACATAAAATTATATCTATAAATGAATTAGTGATTAATTTTAGTTGGTTTTCATTCGTATGATTAGCATATCTGCGCATACGTTGCCGTCTGCGCCGATTGAGGGCACTTTGGGTGCGGTCGGCGGTGATCCGGAGCCGTACGGCAAGAGCATTGCCGACGCGCCGGTCAATGATTTTGTGTTGGCGGCGTTGGCGGGCATACCGTTAATCTGCGGTAAAGGCAATCATATGGAGTACAACTATCGGCTACAGATGCAACTCATTGCCGATCGCATTAAGACACTGACTACTCGATTGAAGTCGGTTTACGCCCGTCTGCGAGAGGTGGGCGTCAGGCCTCTGTGCCCGTGCGCTGACGACGACCAGCGCTGTCTGGACCAGATGTCGGACGCGATTAAGCGTATGTATCCGTATCCGCACGTGACTGACGGTCCGGTGGAATGGGTGGACACTCGCAACGCCCGTCTCTACCGGTATCTGGTGTTGCGCCAGGAGTTGGCCATTAATAACGAGTTAATGTTTAACAGTTGTTGCACTCGTTTCTAATTTATACTAAAAGTGATGTAAAAGTGATTTACAGAGTAATTGTCGATTAAGTAGATTTTGTTTATTTTTTGTTTCAAAAGTTTATACAGTATTATATAATTGACTAAAATAATTGTTTGCTTTTTTGATTTAATCATGATTTAAATTAAGACAATTGTGCGCCCAATTTAGCCGCTTTTTTTTGGTTGGCGTCGCCTCCTATTTACAAATTTATATAATATTTTCAATTCATTGCTAATATAATTAAACAAATTAAATGTAGAGTTTATTGTTAACGATATAAATTATGTGATTAAGTAATTAAAACAATAAATAAATTAAACTTTGAATGAATGGTATTTATTAAACTTAATTTTGGATGAAAATACTGTACTTTATATACTATAGTTATTGAGAGTTATATTTTGAACATAATTTATATTATCAACTAATTGTGAAAATACCACAAATCGGTTCAAATTATATGACAATTAACAAAGAAAACTGAGAAAATAAATATTATAGACAATTATCAAAACTAAAGCAAGATTTATGACCGGAAAAGTGATAATTAATTGGTAATAGCGTTCAATCGACGCGTTGTGCCATCAAAACGATGTCTCCCTCGGGATCATCCATAGCGGCCAATACATCGTCAAAGCCGGCGCATCGCAACGGCTTCAGGTGTGTCCGCACGGCCTTCCAATTGGTCAACATCTCGTCGCACAGACAGCACATCCATTGGCCCCTAACGCGGGGCGACGGGTCGTGCGATCGGGACATTCGTTTGGGTTTAGATGTCGTCCGTCGCCGGGCGTCGGCATAGCGCGAGGCAGTTGTGGGCGTCGGTCGGCTCTCGGTGTTGGTCTGTTTGTCCCGACGCGGCCTAAAGTGGTGGTCAATCAAATCAATTAACGTATCCATAAATTGAAACAATCAATCAATACATAACACTCGGTGCGGGTTTGGTAGCGGTCCCGACAGTAGTGTCCACTGTCGAGGCGTTAACAGCCGATGTCTTTGCGTTCAAACTCCTGTCCAACTGTTCGTTTATTTTTCTAATCGTGAAAAATAGACATTTAATTAAACGTCAAAATTATTGCCCAAATAAACAATTACTTGATTTTAGATGAGATTTCACTCAATGTCTTCGGCGAGGCGTTCGGGACCTTCGATATGGAGGCCAACGAGCGGTTCAATGACTCGATCTCGGCGTTCAACAGTTGGCTCTCATCCGATTGCCTGCAAACACATCCCAATTACAAGACATTCTCATTCGTAAGACTATCGCATACTTATAGTTCGCCGGCAAAGGAGAGACCGAATCAAAGGCCTGAGACGTGGACGACGTCTTCGCGAGCGGACAATCGGGGCCGCAGATGGCGTCCTCAATGATGGCTTCGGCGGCCGCCGTATCGAGTTTAGCGTTGGCCGGGAGGGCCACCAGAGTTCGCCTCACAATAGCGTTCTGGCGGACGTATAGGTGACCGCCCGGTGACCACCGGTGGTCCCGGATCTCCAAGAAGTCGTAATCGCGCAACAGTTGCACAGTCTGTTTGTCTGAGACCAGAGTGTCCTCTAAGTACAGGTTAAACGTCGGGTCGTCGAGAGCGGCGAACACACCGGCGCCCGCTGTGGCCGCAGCGCCCGCCGGACCGCCGCCGCCGTTGGCCACCAAACGCTTCAGAATACGGCTAAACATGTACTTCAGGTCACCGATTGTCCGCAGTATTGGCAGCGCTTGCGTATCGATATCGGCCGCAGACATACCGGGAATAGTGCTGGCGATGGCCTCGGCGTGAATGTCGGCGTCCACGTGACCGATATAGCCCTCCCGTGTCTTCGGCAACGA